CTCAGAAAATATTAAGTACAAAATTCTGGAAACAAACAATTCCTAAAAAAAAAAAAAAAAAAAAAAAAGAACATAGTAGTCCTCTCTGATCCACAATTTCACCTTCCTCAATTTTAGTTACCTGCAGTTAACCATGCTCAGAAAATATTAAGTACAAAATTCTGGAAACAAACACTTCATAAACTTTAAAATATACACTCTTCTCTGTAGTGTGCTGAAATCTTCCACTGTCCTTCTCCTGGGACATGGATGATCCTTTTGTCCAGTGTATCCACACTGTATATGCTACCCCACTGCTAGTCACTTAGTAACCATCTCAATTATCAGATCAATTGCCACGGTATTGCAGTGCTGGTATATAAAGTGTGGTACTTACTTTTCAGTTACCCACTCTGTGGCCTTGGAACATATCTCCTCTGGGCAGAAGGACAGATCATTTTACTACGGTGCCCCTGAGTTCCACAAGTCGGAAGTGAAACATCAAAGAACAGCTGAGGCAGGAGTGCACGTCACTGGTGGGACTAAGCTAAGGCTGGCTAACTTTTCCTGCTGAGGGCCAAATAGTAAATATTGTAGGTTCTGTGGTCCTTGTGGTCTGTTGCATCTACTTAACAATTCCATTGTAGCAGTAAAGCTGCCGCAGGCGATTGGTAAGCACATGGGCACAGCTTTCATTAAAACTTAATTTACAAGAACAGGCGGTAGGATTTTGCCTATGAGCTGCAGTTTTTCAAACCCTCATCTAATGAAGGGGTTGGAGTCAAACAGAGGAGTCTAAGGAAACTTCATCTGCTCAGATATTCCCTGAAGAAATGTAATATTTGTAGCAAAATAAGACTAGAGAAGGAGTAGGAGGGTCTGAATTCAGCTCTTGGTCTGGCCACAGATTCTAGGATGATGTCCCTGAAACACTTTCCTCACCCATAAAATGGAAGAGAGGCATAAGATGGTCTCCAAGTCCTCTCTTCTACAACAGTCTAGAGCAGGAGAACTTAATCTGTGGTACAGGGATGCCCTAAGGAGTCTGTGGATAAAGTGAGTGGTTGTAAACTTAAACAAACATTAGGTTTTGAATTCCATTAATTTCTAAATGAAATGCAGTGTTTACTTCAATGTCAACTTCATGTAATAAATCACAGTGTTGTAAACAATATCTCTGTCTCCAATAGAAATCACAGATATTTTTATATCAAGTTATAGTTGATTCACATCTTAAAATATCAATCACATTCATCACTTCTTTGAATTTATAGTAGCTATTAAACCTGTAATCAGAACTTGCTATTTAATATATTAATAAAGATACATTTTTATATCACAAATTGAATTTTATAGAAATTTGATAACCATACTTTTACTTTTTCTTTGTAATTTTGTGTAATTTATTTTGTTCATTAAAAGCAATATTCTGAAAAGAAGTCCAGGTTCCCCAAAATAGTGGTTAAAAACTTTGGCAACTAGAGTAATTATTTATTTGTATCTATCATCCTGGCAAAATACTTTTATAAAAAATAGATGTGATAGGGGCTGGGGGTGTGGCTCAAGTGGTAATGTGCTCACCTGGCATGCGTGAGGAACTGGGTTCAATCCTTAGCACAACATAAAATAAAATAAAGATATTTTTAAAATGTTGAAGCCGAAAGATATATTTTAAAAAATAGATGTGACAAAGGAGTACTTTCTTATGTACCTGATTAAATGAGAACTTTTAGTTTTTTAGAAAGTAATGTGGTATGGCTCAGGAGGCTGAGACAGAAGGATTATGAGTTCAAAGCCAGCCTCAGCAACTTAGAAAGGCCCTAAGCACCTCAGTGAGACTCTGTCTCTAAACAAAATACAAAATAGGACTGGGGAGGTGACTCAGTAGTTGAGTGTCCCTGAGTTCAGCCCCCCAGTGCTCCCCCCCTGCAAAATAGTAATGTGGTAATATGCTAAAATTCTAAAATATATACAATATAGTCTGAAACCTCACTCCTGCACATTTAGCTAATATACATAAAAAGGTCAATATCCTCCCCCCACCCAATAAAGATGAATGGAAAGGATTGTTCACATTGTCAAAGAGAAACAAACAAACATAACTGGAAATTTTTTTTTTAAAGAGAGAAAGAGAGAGAGAGAGAGAGAGAGAGAGAGAGAGAGAGAATTTTTTAATTTATTTTTCAGTTCTTGGCAGACACAACATCTTTGTTTGTATGTGGTGCTGAGGATCCAACCCAGGTCGCACGCATGCCAGGCAAGCATGCTACCACTTGAGCCACATTCACAGCCCACTGGAAATTTTTAAAAATGCCTATTGCTAAGGGAATATATGTGAAATGATATGAAATCTCCACAGTGAAATATTATGTAGTCAGTGAAAAGGAGGCAGAGTTTACTACATGTCCTGGTGGAATTTCTCTGAAGGATCATTTGTTGAGGAGAGGAGTAAGCAAGTGATAAAATTTTATTCCATTTAATTAAAACATGCTGTGACAAAAGGTCTATTATATATATGCATCATGATAAGGATAATGACTATGATGTGTACATGTGTGATGAACATGGAAAAAGACGGACACAGACGTGGATCAGGATGCTCACGTGTGTTTCAGGGAAGGAGGTGAAGTTGATGGAAAAGAGAGAGAGAAGAAGCAGCAAAGCGGAAACAAAGAATGACCACATCAACTAAACACAACAAAGCACTCATATAAAATGATAGCATTTTGTATTGATATAAAGTTATATCGGTTTGGATTAAAGGGAAATATTTCCTGAATCTATTTGAAAAAAAAAAAAAATAGGAGATCAGATAAAGGCAGGATGAGCTCACTTTCTCAGGGACCTAACATTTTCAGTTAACTGTTAATCCGTCCAGTATTTATTGAATCCTTCTTTGCTCCAAACTGATTTCTGACATCTCTGGCAGCTTACTTGGAAATTTAAAAGATGAATCACAACAGCCCAAATGGCTTCATTTTATAAGTGAATATGTTCATTTTGATACAAAAGATTCATTCATTCATTCATTCATTCATTCATTCATAAGTGCCAGGGATTTTGAAGAAAAAAGGAGCAAAAAGTACAGGAAGGGAAGACTCTTTCAGACTCGTCCCTTTCTCCAGTTTGTTCCATTGTTGATGTTAACTGATGTCCAATGCCTATCTTTTCTCATGTCCTCTGCTTACTTCTTTGCAGGCTCACTAAATTCCCATAAGATAAGATCGATGCCCAGCACGTCACAGGCACTCAATAGAGGCTCACAGAGCCATGAACGAAGAACCACTTGTCACACCTCTCAAGGTCAGAAGGGAGGAACAGTGGCTCCGGCCAGGCGCCATCCTGCCCAATGACCTAGAAGCTCAGGAATCCGATCAGGCCACTTTGCAGAGGCGTCCACCCCACCAACTGCCCATCAGTTTCTATTCCAATGGCCAAGAATGAGAACAAAAGAAATGAAATGCCAGCAGCTTTCAGTCCGTCCTCATCCAAGTCCACAGCCTTTTTGTTTTTACCTATTCAGATCTATTCTGGGACTAGGAACCGATGGAGAGTCTGAGTCTCTCCAACTGCTGTTCTTAACTCTTTGGAAGAAAAAGTCTTTCACAGTTTTCTCCTTGTACAAAGCGGAAAATGAAGAATAACTCTAGGCTACCGGATTCTCTGTTATAGGTGGCAGCCGCTACCACCTAATAATAATTACGACCCCTTACAGCCAATGCCACACATTTCAAAATGTTTCCTTCCATCTATAAAATTCCAGGAGAGATAGGAAGCGCAGGCAGGATCCTGTTAGCATCAGGTGAGCAATCTGAAGCTGAGTAGATAGTTCAGTAAGTTGCTGGAGATGAAATACTAGTCAGACAGGAACCGGGAGCTGAACCCACACCTTTCAAATAGTAACAGGAGTACGGGAACGATCTGCATCTTAGAGAAAATAAGTTGGTGCACATCAGCCCCATGGGGCAAAAATATAGTGCAAGTCTCACACATAAGCTAAATATTTTCTAGTAGCCACATCAACAAAGTAAAATGAAATAGGTGAAATTAATTTCACATTTTTTGTTTAACCCTAATATACTAAAATATTACTATTTCATCATATACCCAATATAAAATTTTAAATAAGGTAAATTACATTCTTTGAAATCTAGTGTGCACTCTGTCTATAGAAATCTGAATTTGGACCAGCCCCATTTGAGTATACAGTAGTCATATGTGGCTAATATAGGGCAGTGTGCAGACATAGATGAAGGAGAATAAGACCACAGGTGTCGTTTATAAATCAAGTGAAATTCCAAAAAAAGGAAACTGTGTTGTAGCCATGTTTCGCTGGAAATGAAGATGAGAAACCAGCATCCACCCTTTGTTGGGCCCCCAAATGTGGGATTCAGGCTCTCCTATGGTCCTGCATAGGGTCACCCAGGAAAACCATGTCTAGCCTTCAATAACAGAAGCAAAGCTGGAGAAGGTTACGGAGAAGCTGGGGCGTCCTGGATGGAGGCAAGAGCAGACATACTGGGTGGGGGCTTATAAAGGCTCTGTCAATAAGAAACCAGGCTCCACAATAGCTTTCAACCACAGTGAGCCCTGACAGGAAACTGACCCAGTAAACCAAACAGATTACTGCTGCAGCCAGACCAGCCTGCCTCCCGCTCCAGCCCCCAGTGGAGCTGGAGTTGTTTGGAAGCCGCTTCTTAGCTTTCTGGAGAGTGAGAAAGGTAAGGATCAAGAGAGGCCAGATGTGCAAACCACAAGCCTTTGAGTTCTAGGTCACTGTCACATCCATCCGGATCAAGAACACAGGGGCATGCACGGGGTAGGGGCATCAATCCTGTCTTTCTGGGTGTCTCTGACTTCTCAATTCTTTTAGAATCGGCCGTAAGATTCCCTCCTCGTCTGGGACCATCCAAGAATGCAGCAAGTTCCACAGGTAGCCAAAGGCCATTCATTGCCACAGTTGAAGCTTCATTTGGATAAAGTGGGCTGCAGGCTCACGCAGGAATCCTCAGGACTTGAATGCTGGCCGGGAGGCTGGAGAGACACAGAAGAAACTGTGGTAAAACAAAAGTTATCCTCTAAAAGTCTGAATTGCAGGAGCGGGATCTGGTGTGAAAATAGATTTGAGAGGCATCACCAGGGCCCACATGGGTAGGAAAACAGGCTTTTTGGCTAGAGTTTACTCCACCTCTGTCCCCTTTTAGAGGGGAAGCCCGGGCCCTGTTGATGATTATAAACAGCCAACTGTAAACCTGAACAAAGGCAGTGTCAAATCAAAGTGTGTTGAAATAGGGCACCTGGGATTATTTGAATGGTGCTAGACCGGCTAGTTAGTGACGTCAAGCAAGTCACAGCAGCACTGAGCCCCATTATGCATCTACAAATAAAGAGGCCTGCCACCTCTGATGGCATTCAAATCTATTTCTAACCTCTACACATTCTGTGTATGTCACAGGTTCTTAAATGCTCACTAAATGGACAAGCAGTGCATTCCACACGACATAGCAACATGCCTCTGGTATAGTTTTCTCCTGCCTCTTGCTGAAAATGCTGAGGTGATAGAGACCCATTCTATGGAAAGGACCAGAAAGGTGGGAGCTAGCTGGGGAAAAGCAAAACTGAAGATCCTGGATCCCTGGAATTGGGGGATCTCACAGTTCTAGCACCCCAGTACAACTCTCCTGCTTCCACATGCTCCTGAGTCCTGGACTCCAGCATCAGGATTCCTCCAGTACACTGTGTCCCCTCAACTTGTAGAATTTCTCAAAGGCTCCAGATTTTCTGGCTGGTTTAACAGCCTTATAGAGAGGTTAAATCTCAAATTTAAACTGTCAAAGCTGGTTAAGGTCTAACAAAGCCTCAATAATCTAGTTGAAAACAGGTTCTCTTCAAGAATGGGATGCAATAGAACACCATAGTCATTTGGTTTTGGCAAATTCTCCTTTTTTTGTACAGATGTTAAGAAACCTTGGCATAATCTTAGAAAGCAATTAAACATGCAAGAAAATAAAGACAGTGCAATTTCCTGGGACTGCCTTGTGCTCTAATTCCTATCAGTCATGGAAACTCAAAACAGTGACTCCTGGAGGGAGCTGTGCTAATGTCACCTGAGGGTTCCATGCTGGGAGGAGCTGTCAAGACACCTGCTGTCTCTTGAGTCTTCACTTGATTTTTGAAGATTTAAAAAAAAATTGTACAATATTCTTGAGTCTCTGAATCTCAGTTTTACTATTTATAAAAAATAAAACTCAGTCTATTTTCTATCTAGCAACTTACTGACGTATTATATCTACAATATTAGAGTAACTTGAATAGCAGGATAATAACACCAAAAGAGTAAAAAGGACTGCAATAGGTTGATAGACCAAATTTCTTCTCTGCTTTATTTTTTATGAATTCTGCAATATGATTACAATAATTCACTTCAAGAAACATTAATTTATTATAAAATTTAACATAAAGTAACTTGATATTGATGAACACTACAGAAGAGAAAATCACAGTCAATTCTTAATTATCCATGCAACACTGAATTTCCAATACATTTTTAAAAATCCAAATAGAATTCCTGTGGTCACTAAAAACATCTCAAAGACAACCTCAATCAATCAGTCAATCAAAACACATGAAGATTATTTGTCTATTTTAAATTTTGACCTTAGCACTTTGGGAAATGCTAAGGAAAAAAGGGGGATTCTGTTCCTGATCTGGAGGAATCACAATGATGTTGGAAAAACAAGACTGGCATATATAACAAATGCAAAGAAAAAACTTGTGATAACTAAGGGTCAAACTGTAAGGACCAAACTCTGGAAATTAATGAATGTTCCATAATAATGATGCACAATGTTATGGAAAATTGAGATTCAATGAAGCCTTGAAAAAGGGATCACATGTCTCTGTGAGATAGAATGGAGAAGGGAGGAGAGAGGTACTAATACTCACTGACATTTCTATTCACAGCCACGTTGTAGGTGACTTTGGAAATGTAACCTAATAGGCTGCTCATAGTCACCTGTGAATTGGCTGCTTCCGGTTTTCCATTTGACAGATGAGAAAACTGAGCCTCAATTCTGATGCTGTGCTCACGAGGTAATGCAGGAATCTGCTGATTACAAGAGGCAGGTGTGTCTGGGGACATAGGGAAACATAAAAGAATAAAGAGAGACTGTGCCGGTCGATATGGTAGCCATAGCCGTTGACTATTGACCATTTGAGATGGGTCCAGTGCAACTAAGGAACTGGAACAGTGAGAGCTATTTTTCATAACACACATTACTGTTTAGACAGAACCACATTTTATATCAGTCTTTGGAAATTTAGCTTCTAAATTAAGAAGTAGTATAAGTTTTAAAATACACATTGAATTTCAAAAACTGTATGAAAATAGAATGCACATATCTTATAACAATTTTTAATATCAATTGTTAGAATGATAATATTTTTAATATAGTAGGTGAAATATAGTAATAAAAACATGTTTCTTCTCCCATTTTTTGTGTGGCTGCTAGAATTTTTTAAATTACAAATGTGACTCTTGTTATGTTTCTATTGCATGGATACAGAGGACATAATATGGCAAACACTGGTAAGAGAAGAAGAAAGCCTAGCAGGAGTCAAGATGGTTGGACTTTCTTCTATAGAATATAAACACCATGCTGCTTTAGGCTTTGTTTCTGTTCATAGATGTGTCCTCAACCCTATAACAGATCAGTGTCTGGCATCTAGTGGACACTCAATAATTTTTGGCGGGGAGTACCGGGGATTGAACTCAGGGGCACTCAACCCCTGAGCCACCTCCCCAGTACTATTTTTCATATTTTATTTAGAGACAAGGTTTCACTGAGTTGCTTAGCACCTTGCAGTTGCTGAGGCTTGCTTTGAACTCACAATCTTCCTGTCTCAGCTTCCTGAGCTGCTAGATTTCAGGTGTGCGCCGTGACATCCAGCCGACACTCAATAATTTTTTTTTTAAAGAGAGAGAGAGAGAATTTTAGTTTTCGGTGCACACAACATCTTTATTTTATTTTTATGTGGTGCTGAGGATCGAACCCAGCGCCCCGCACAGGCCAGGCAGGCGCATTACGGCTTGAGCCACATCCCCAGCCCAACACTCAATAATTTTGACTGAATTTCTGCCATTGGTGGCACCAACATTCTCTTCATCAAAGTTCAAAACCTTGGCCTTCCTCTGGTCTCAATAGCCTGCTATCTTTGGTCAAAAACCAAACCTGCCATTCCTCACTCTCTGAAGGCACAAACATCCATCCTTTGCATTTTAGGTCTTCTGCCCCTGTAACCATCCACCCCCTTAGATCATGGTTTTGAAATCATCTTAACTGCTTCATAACTGGGTGGTATGACTGCCTCTCCCTCCCTCCTTATCACTGCAGAGTCATCCCTCTCAACCTCTACTTTCATTTGTAAAATTCCTTAAGAGCAAGGACTGCATTTATTTCTCTTGGTATACACCCCATGCATGGTACTCGGTAGGTGTTTAATATTGTGAGAAATGTTTTTTTTAATGCATCCAATTATTTATGATTCACTTTAGTCCAAAAATACTAAAGGCAACTTTTATGCCGTCAGTTCCTTTCTTATAGTCCTTTAAGGACTCCCCCAAAACTCTTAGACAAAGTCAGATTCCAAGTGCACCATGCTGGCACTCATGCCCACTATGGTGCCTACCGTCTGGTTCCTCCTTCTCTCTCTTGCTCCTTTCGTGCCTCCTCTCATGCCTCTGTCCTGCTGCATTCTGTTCATGCTGCTCTTCACTCCCTTGGATATCTTCTCTTATCCATTTATTCAACTTCTATCCACCTTGCAAAGTCTAGACCAAGTCCTGTTTCTCCTTCAGGGACTCTGCAGATCATGTCATGCAAAAATGAACAGCCCCTGCTCTGTCCTCCTGCAGGTCTTCCTGTTGGCACTAGGCATTAGGGATTAGGCATTTAGCACTCTCTGACATTCATTCATTCCACAGATAATTTATTGGACCCCCCCATCATTATTATCAATGTTTTATTTCCACACTCATACCTTTTCCATTCAATTAAACTGTAAACTCGTTAGAAGAGAAGATTAAAATTTTAACTTGGTCTATGCACATGGCATATATATGTTAAATTACTTATCAAAGAGAACATGGTCTGTTTCATGCCTCCATGCTATTGTAACATTGTTCCATTCACCTGGAATGCCCTCTCTCCAGGTCCAGTTATTCCCATCTGTTGGGCAAATTCTTACTCATCTTTAAATAGATGAGCTAGTCTGATCTGTTCGTCCCTTGGGTCTCCTCTCCCTCCAGCACAGTGTACTTGCCCAGCTCTTACTCTGTGGTTTTTCTTGTCTCCTATTTGGTGAATGATTCCCCTCCTAAAACCACTAACAACAAAATTCTATGATATATTTAGGTACTATGTTCTTCATAAGAAAAGCATTAATTAACTCAATTCAGGTGTTGTAGCCATTGTTATACCAAATATATCTATGAACTTTAGATGCGCATTTTGATTACGAGTACCTTATGTATCCCAAATGTGTTTCCTTCTTTTCTGCCCTCACAGCACCCATGTGCTGTGAAGTTGCTGTGAACAGAACCACATTTCATTTGAACTAATGAGTTTTGTTTGGTGCTTCTGCTGTTTTTCACATATAGTGCCATTTGCTAGGAATGCCCTAAAAGTAGAAAGAGATGAAGTGAATTAATCAGTAGAACACACCCAGTATTCGCTGAAGAGTCCCGTGTTATTGCTCGTATTTGTCATTCTTTCAGTACTTCAAATGAGTAGAAACAAAAGAAGAGTTAAGATACTTGATTAAAAAGGCAAGTTCTTGAAAAAGCATGAAGACTGGGAAAGGTGACGCTGAGAAAGGTTACCAGCATTTTCTGGCCAATGTGCTTTGATTCAGATTTCAGCTCCATTTCTTTCTGGCTGTGTGCCCTTGGGCATGTTATTTTATATCTCTAAATCTTAGTTTCTTCTTCTATTAAGTGAAGATAATAGAAGAACCTAACTCATAGGGTGTGATGACTCTAAAAAGATGATGTATGTAAAATACTTGGCATACTGCTAGGTATTAACACATAGTAAGCACACAGAAGTGAATAAATGATGCTAATAAATATTATGTCAAAACACTAGAAATAAACCAATATTTTCATATTAAAAAATTAAATTCTGAAAACTGCTTTATGGTGAACATTCTCTAGAAAAAAATCTTAGAAAATGTAATTAAACAACTGACTAATGAAGAGAAAGAGGTGATTCCTGTAGGCTAGCATGGGTTCATTATCACTAACTCAAATGCACTAATCTTGTTTCCTATTTGGAAAGGATTATTAAACAGGTGTATTAACGTGATCATACAGAAGTCATACATCTTCATTTTTGGTTAGCTTTACACTCTCCTCAGTAATTTCTTTAGAAGAAATATAGACTCAATGAGCATTTCTTATGTAAGTTGGTTAAAAATATACTGTTGTCTATCATAGATTATATCAATGGCTCTGAGGCCAGATTTTCCCAGCTGTGATAAACAGTGAGAGCAGGTTAACCCTCCTGTGATAAATAACTAGGAAACTGGACAAAATCGATGAAACTATTTTTTTTAGACATTAGAGAATGAGCAATGCCAAACTGTGATCCTTGACAAAGGAGATGCCAGCTAGATGAATCCTCCAGTAGGCTTGGCATTCCGTCTGGCAGCATCTTCAAGGCCACAGTATAGGAAAAAGCAGTCCAAGCAAAGCACAGTCTTGCTGCTGAATTGAACAGACAGAAATCAAAGTTTGAACAGGCTAAGGCAGCGGGAATTTGTGGAACAGAAATCCATAGAGAGTCTACACAGGAAAAGAGCTCCAGAAATTTGCATAATAGTCCCCTTCAGTCTTTCATTAAATATTAAGCTGCACATGTTCAGGAAGAAACTCCATAAGGCCATGCATGGGAAAAAAAATACTAGGGAGTTGTAAACTAAAAAATTCTTATATCTCCATGGAGAGAATTCACTGGACTTCAGGACATTCTGGAGAGACCCCAGGAGAGCCACACCTGGCAAAACCTTCCTGGGGGTAGGGGGAGACTATTTTAAATTCATCTTTTAAAGTTTTTTTTTTTAAGTCACAAAAGAATCAGGCCAACACACAATAAATTAATAGCCTGCCAATACAAAATGCACCACTCTTTAAAGGTAGACAACAAAATCCAGATACTCAGCAATGTAACAATCACAATATCCAAATCTACTTGACATCCAACACAAAAATTGTTAGATCTAGAACTCATAGCCAGTTTTTTTTAAATGTGGGCAATAAAAACAACAGAACAGACAGAAATGGTGACAGAAACAGACAATGACTTTAAAAAAGCTAATATAAATATATTTGACTGAGATATGAATATACGAATCACCATTATTACAGCATACACATTGTATATCTATACTGAAATGTCAAATGCATCACATAAATATGTACAGTTATTGTGTGTAAATTAAAATTTTACAAACTTAAAAATAAATAAATTTAAGAATTTAAAGAAAAATAAAAAAATAATAATGCAATAAGTTGATAGAAAAGAATCAACATGGAACTTCTGGAGCTGAAAACTATAATATCTGAAGTTATAACCTCACTAAAGGAACATGCTTAAAGCAGAGCAGATGCCACAGAAGAAAAGATGAGTGAACTTTTAGACAAAGCAATAGGAATTACCCAAATTGAAGTACTGAAAGATAAAAGATTGAAAAAATGAGTATATCATCAACAATATTTAAGACAGTACAAAGCAATCCAGCATATGAGTAATTGGAGTCCCATAAGGGCAAGCACAAAAGAATATTTAAATAAATAGTGGTCAAAATTTACCAAATTTCATGAAAATTATAAATCCAGAGATCCAAAACACTTGATAAAAACATTTCAAAAGAGGAGGAAATGGATATATTACAGCAAAACTGCTATAAATCAAAGGGAAAGGAAACACTTTGAAAGTATTCAGAGGGAAAAAAATGGGCAAATGTACAAAAGGAAGCATAGTAATAATGACTACAGATGTCTTCAGAAAAAACACAAGCCAAAAAGCAACTGAATGACACACTTCAGGTGAAAGAAAAGGCCCAAATTTCTATATCCATTGAGAATATTACTCAAAAATAGAGACAAAATAAAGACATTTTTAAAAACCAAAACCAACAAATTAACATGTTGTACATGTATCAAATTATTACACTGTGAACAATTATTTTATGTAAACAACAACAACAATAAAACTAAAAGAATTTGTCACCATCATATCTGCATATAGGAAATGTTAAAGAATCTTAGGCTAAAGGAAAATGGCATCTAGTTTGCACAAAGAAATGAATAGCACAAAAATAGTAAATATAAGAGTAAATGTAAAACATATTAAATAAATTAAATTAATAACAAAAATTTTCCAAAAAGCAAGCTCCAACCTCAGATGGTGTCACTTATGAGTTTTATAAAAACTACAAAGAAGAAATAATATTTTGGTCTGGGGATGTAGCTCAGTGGTAGACCACTTGCCTAGCAAGTGTGAGGCCCTGGGTTCAATCCTCAGCGCCACATAAAAATAAGTGAATAAAATAAAAGTATTGTGCCATCTACAACTAAAAAAAAAGAAAGAAAGAAAGAAAAAGAAATGACATTGTTCTCACAAAACCTTTTTTAGAAAACTGAAAAATAGGGACCATACATCAACTCATTGTATAATTCAGCAATACTATGCCACAAAAATCAAATAATTAAACTGAAAGAAATCTTCAAGTGAATATCCTTCATAAATATATACACAAGAGCATTAATCAATATTTGCAGACTAATTCAGCAATGTATAAAAAAAGATAAGGTATCATGATCAAACAAAGTTTACAACAAGAACGTGAAACCTGTTTAAAAATGAAAATCAACCATTGAAATTCACCATAATAACCAAGAAAACACAATATGACTATCTCAATATATACAGAAAAAGTATTTAACAAAATTCAACACTCCTTCACAACAAAAATTCTCAGCAAAGGAAACTTTTCAACCTGGTAAAGGAAACTTTTCAACCTATGAAATCCTGCAGCTAACTTCATAACTAATGATGAACACTTGGGTGCTATTTTTGCTTTGTTACCAGTATCATCACAGTTAGTCAACTTGGTGCTGGAGGTCCTAGCCAGTGACACAAAAAAGAAGATATAAAAAGACTAGATATTGGAGAGGAAGTAAAACAGGTTTTATTTACAAACCATATTATTATGTACATAGGAAATCCTAAAGAATCTAAGAAATCATTGGAACTAATCAAATTTGGCATGTCACAGGATGCAACAATCACTTGTATTTCTATACATGAACAATGAACAAATGGAAAATAAAATTTTAACAATGGTACCCAAAACCATTAAATACTTGGGAATAAGTACAGAAATATTTGCAAGACCTATACTTTGACAATGGAAAAGCAAAAACATTGCTGAGAAAAATTAGAGAAGACCTAAGTGAATGCCCAGATGAACCACGTTCATGGATTAGTAGCAGACTAAATGTTCTCTCCCAAATTAATGTTTTCTCAAGTTAAATCTCTAAAATCAGTATAATGTAACTCAAAATTTTAATCTCTTGTTGTAGAATTCGACAATCTAATTCTAATATTCATAAAAAGGCAAAGGACCTATAATATAATTTTAGATGAAGAAGAACAGAATTGGGGGACGGTGCTATCTGACTTTATGTTGACTGGAAAGCTGTGCTGAGCAGCATAGTCAGATGTAGGTGTGAGGACAAGCATGCAGATGGTGGAGAGTAGGAGAGCAGAGCACCCACACGTGGAAAGTTAACTGATTGTTCAACGGTTCAGTCAGCTAACTCAGTTGAACTGCCAAGGTAATTCAACAAGCGGAGAAACAGACATTTCAAAAACTGATGTTAGAAGAAAGAACTGAATATTTATGGAGAAAACCATAAATCCCGATTTTTACTACATATCACATATAAAGAGTAACTCAAAATGGGTCATTAAATTCATCCTAGAATTTACAACTATGAAAATTCTAGAAGGAAACATAGGACAAAAAATATATATACATCAAATCTTGGGGTAGGCGCAATTTATTCAAGCAAACAAACAGTGACCATTAAATTAAAATGATGAACTGAATACCAAAAATTAAAATTTTCTGTTCTTCTTTTTGAAAGAAACTTTTAAGAAAAGAAATAGGAATGTTGAAAATCAGAGTAAGGAGAAAATATTTTTTCCCAAAATTTACATCTTTTTTACATCTTGGAGATAAGATTATTTATAATAACAACCCAAAATAAAAACATACAAAAGATTTGAACAGACACTTCTCAAACAAAGATTTATGAATAGTCAATATGCATGTGAAAAGATGCTCAAACTCAACCCATTGCTGCTGGGAGGGTGAAATGAGACAGCTGTTTTGGATAACTGTTGCATAGTTTCTAATAAAGTTAAGCATACACTTAGCTTAGTGTAACAATTCTACTCTTCAGCATTTTCCCCAGAGAAGTGAAATATATTTCTACTCAAAAGACTCACACAGAAATGTCTGAGCCTGATTTAATCACAAGAGGCCAAATTGGAGAAAACTCAAACATCCATCAACAGGTGAATGAATAAGCACATTGTGAGAAATCCATACAATGGAACACTTCTCAGCAATAATAAGAACAAACTACTAATACATTGTTGTTTGAGATTTGTCTCATGAGTAAATCTCAAAAATTTTATGCTGAGTATGTATCGTATGTATTGTATGGCTCCCTTTAGATGAGATTCAAGGACAATATTTTACTAATGGATGTGCTGATGTAGTGACAGAAAACAGGCTTGTGGTTGCCTGGGTCCATCAAGGGATGAAGATGATGTACAAAGAGTACTGGTAGGTGATGGGAATATTCCATGTTTTAATTTTGGTGGTATTCACTGAAGTGCATGCATTTGTCAAAATTCACCAAAATATACACTCTAAGTGAGTTCATTTTTAATGTATATCATTTATATGTAAAATATATCTCAATAATGATTTTCTATAAAAGGAAAAAGATCGTACACACTGAGTTAAAAGCACAGGGCTTTGTTCTTGACTTTTCCCTAGTACATGTTTTTATATAACAGAAAATTGAGTTTAACAAATTTATTGTTGACACATAGCTGGAAGAATTTATTTTATTTATTTATTTATCAAAAAATATTATTTAAGCACTTACTATGTGTTCGGCTATACTGATGAATTAAAATTAAAATAGAGAATAGAATAGGTCTCTATTCTAGTGGCATTACGTCCTTCGAAGGGAAGCAGATATTAATTAAATAAGCAGAATTCGAAATGTTAAGGGGGAAAGAAGCTGAGCAGTTCTATGAGAATCTATAAAAAGGAACCACAAGGCAGGGGAAGAGTCCCTGAGGCAATGACCATCCCTCTGGGAGCTTAAGCCTGAGCAGGTAGGACTTATTTAATTGAGGGGCACACAGTCCCTTTGTGAGAGAGAGAGAGAAGCGCTTTGAAAGAACTAAAGAAAGATCATGTGACTGAAACCCTAAGAATGAATTGAGATGATGTATGAAAGGCAGAAAGTCATGTGCAAGCTACCCAGGGACCGTAAGCAGAAGCCATAGGGGTTAATTCTACAGTCTAGTGAGAGAATTACCAGTTTCTTCTAGGTTGATAGCAATGGTATCAGGAAGGTGGGAATAGATGCACTAAAAAAAATAGGAGGTAAAATCAGTAATTCTGGGTGGAAGAGGATGAGAGATGCTAACGGGTCAAGAATGACAGCCAGGTTTCTGTCTTGAACAACCGAGGGAGAAAGCTTTTTTCACTGAGATAACTCTCCAAGCTGTTTTAGTCAGTTTTTTGCTGCTGGGACTAAAAGACCTGACCAGAACGATTGTAGAGGAGGAAAAGTTTATTCAAGGGCTCACAGTTTCAGAGTTCTCAATCCATAGACAGCTGCTCCTTTCCTCAGGGCTCCAGGTGAGGCAGGAGCCACATGGCAGAAGAGGGTGGCAGAGGGAAGCAGCTCACATGGTGAGAAGGAAGCAGAGAAAGAGGTCTCCACTCGCCAGATTAAATCCACACCCCAAAGCCATGCCTCTAATTCCCACCTCCTCCAGGCACACCCTACCAGTCAATCCCTATTAGAGAATTAACTCACTGATTGGGTTAAAACTCTCACAATCCAAACATTTCTATTCTGAATCTTCTTGCATTGCCTCACAGTGTGCTTTTGGGGGACACCTCACATCTAAACCATAACACAAGGAAAAGAAGCAAACTGAAGGGTGGAGAAGAAGATGAGGGACATACTGAATCTAACATACCGGGAGGACACATGACTAGACACAAGGTCCTAAAGTTTTGGCTATCTGGGCTGGAGCTGTACATAAGGCAGCCATCAGGATAGAATAGATATCAAAATCTTGGAGAGGATGAGACCACAAAAGCAAGAGGTAGGAGGAGAGAGGAACAGGGACTAAGAAAGAGCCCAGAGATAATCAATATTTAAAGCCTGTCCAGAGGAAGCAAAGAACAATGGAAAGGGGGATCCAGGAAATGGAAGGAAAGACAGAAAAAAAAAAAAGTTATACCCCATAGCCCTTGGAAGAGAAGAGGGCATTTTAAGGAAGATGTAGTTGGGGACAGGAGCTTTGTAGTTCAAAGCTCCAGACCCATGCATAAGATCAGTGGGAGCATAATGATGATGATGTCTAATGTGACTGAGAACTCACTAGGCACTCCCCACTTTTTGAGAATATTTTCATGTCGTCCGTCATTCAGAGCAGTAGCATTGGATGCAAGAAGGGGTCAAAATGCTCTAGTCTCCCTGCTCAAGCCAGAAAGAATACACCTCCTTTTCCAGTACTCCTTCCCACTGGCCTAGCCTGCCTGGCCATCTATTTCTCCAAAACTGTCCCGCAGGCCAGGTGACCCAAATTCTCTGTTCTATGGGATGCAATGTTCACCAAAGATATTTGAGACTGTATTTATGGGTCTCCTTCCTGGCTTACCCTGAAGCCAACTGACTGGAACCAAGTATGTCTCAAGGGAGAAAGTATTTCTATTCCACAAGATCCTGGTGCAGAGCTCCTCCTACCCCCAGCCTTCATTATTCCTCCTACATCAGAACTTGAGCAGAAGTGACCCCTGCATCCTGTGGAGGGTGGGGTGTGGGTATGGTGAAGGGGCGCATCTCTAGGTCCATCCTAGGAATGGCCCTTTCTGCACTCTCCCCATTCCTGCACCTCTTAGCCTGGCATCCCTCTTTTTCCTCCCCGGGCCTTATATAGTAATGCGGTTTCACAAGTAACCAGGCAGACTGTCTGCCAGAGCCTCTAATCACCCTGCTGCCAAGGCGATGGCTGAGGCGAGCTGCAAACTCGGCGTCTGAGCCAGACATCCAATAGATCTATTTTTTCTTCTCAAGCAAGGCACTCGAAACTGCCCCAGGGGCCCCTTCCCAGCACCAGCCGCCAGCACTACACACATGCTGACTACGAAAACCAGAATGCCAGAGTGCATGGTCCAGTGCCTAGTACTGAGGGATCGCGGCACTTGGCGGGGTGCACACGGAGCACTGGGACGCCAGGCAGGTGCTAATCCCCGCCCTTCTTCCTCTCGGTGCCTGCGCAAGGCTGCAGTTCTTTGTGTCTGAGTCTGTTCCCCGTCTGCGCTAGACTGGGTGGGGTGGGGGAAGCCGGAAGCAGCAAATCAGCGTCTGGGTCTTGAAAAATGCCTAGAAGGGTGGACATTTTCATTAGAAACCCTTGCCCATTTGGAGAGAACAAGAGTACGTGGGCAGCGGCCTTCCCCTCCCTGACTTCTCCCTCCCCCACGCCCCCTCCCTGTAAGCTCACCTCGCCTTCCCGGTTTCTCTCCGGGAACCACCCCCTCCCTCCTTGGTCATCTGGATCTCGTTGTTCCTGCATTTCCCCAGCTGCCTGTCTGCATTCGCAGCCCCGCACGTGCACAGATGCGCACGTGCTCCTGCACCCCCACCCCGTGGCCCTGTACCCTGACAACCCCACACCTTTGGCAGATTCTCAAGGCAATTCCTTCGCTGGCTCCAGGACCCCCTTAAAGAATGAGCCCTTTATTCCAAAGTAGTAATAGAAAAGGCCTTGGGGATAGTTAACTCAAGCAAGAAAAACCACCAGGAAGGACTGCATTTTTGTATGGGAGAGTGGGTGGGCGGCTTGTGTGGTTTGGAACATTTTGGTCCTTTCCTAGGGAATATATTACATGAACAATCTACTTCTCCACTTTGGGGGCTTCTCTGATTTTTTGGAAGGAATACACAGCAACACCACGAACAAAATGTATTTCCCTCATTTCACCTAAAGGGGTTTTGCTACATTCAATTACTGTTCCTTTTATATTTTATATGTTAACCAATGTGCTCAAAAAGACCAACTAAAATCTAGGACATTGTCGCTTTAAGAATCTAGACTAAAACACCTTAAATGAACTCTGCAGCAGACAGATGAAAAAAAAACCTTCCCTGGCCCTTGCTGCTTTTGCCATTATTCATGATGTAATTTTTCAGGTGTTAGTTTGGCAGAGAAAGATTGGAACAGGGCTTGTTGCTAGGACATGAATGAAGAAGAAGAATCCCATTGGTTCTCTGCAACTTGGCAGGAGCCAATGGGAATGAAGGGGATGCGGTGGGGTTGGCGGGGGAGCCACCAAAAAAAAAAAAAAAGACTCCAGCCGGACTATTTTGCGTTTGATACTTTAAAGTAAAGTGGGGTATTGTAAAGTTATTGGGGGCCATTTTATCTTTTTTAGGGTGTAGGTGGATAGTGGTGCTGGTTGGATCAATGCTGAAGAATATAAGCAATTAAGAGGCAGCTTTGAGAAAGCTGTCCTAGGTTTCACTAATAACTCACTGTCACCGGCAGTCTGGAGCAGTATGCAAACGAGGCTGGGCACATTTCACACCCTTACTCTGCTTCCACACACCGTTTGGGGAATGCAATTATGCTAGAGCTGGAGGCAAGAGAGGCGGGGGTGCGGGTGGAGGGGCGCTGGGTCTCTTCCTCTTGTCTTGATCAGCATCATATGAACCCCAAACAACCTTCTGCAATGTGCGTGAACAGCTCTGTCTGTGTAAACGGGCTCATCCTGTTCTCAGCCCAAGGCTTCCAAGCAGCCTCCCACCACCATACTGCCCTGGGCATTGCAATGAGTCACAGCAAGATCTGGTCCAGCAAAACCTCCAGTTTTGATAACGTTCACATGGATGCACAATACAAACAGAGAATGTCACTGAGGTTTCCAGACTGGGACTATATAACATTCACCCACTTAAGCCTTTTGAGCCTCAGCCTCCCAGCTAGCAGAGTAAGCAGTTCTGGGTGCCAGTCATGATTAGCTGCTTGATTCTAGGCAGTTTCTAGCAAACCTGGGCAGGAAGTAAAGTAGATCCTGGCAGGGGCCCTTCTTTTCCTGCATTGACTATGTAGACTTGACAATCACTGCAGTTGCTATATTCTATTGTCTGAGTGCCAGCTGTATCCCACACCTTTTCTTTAATAAATGGGCAGGGCTTGGGCTGAGGGATTTGAAACACACACAATAAATTGACTTCTATTGGGTTATAGACCTGACCGGTTTATTTACACCCTGGAGGGGATTCAACCTCTGCCAGATTCCTAACTTCAGAGATTTTGTGGCTGGAGTCCAACAACATAAAAGGATTTCTCCTTGTAATCGGAGCACTTCCTAAAACCACAGGCAGTTTCAACCAATTAACATCTCTGATTGCAATACAAAAATTTTAGGAAACTCAAAAGAATCCAGAGGTTTTTCAACCACAAGCCCTTTTTTGGATCCGTGGCTGCAACTGATGTGATTATTGATTTATTTCTTGCTGATTTCTGTGACTTTCCAGGTTGTCAAAGGGAAGCTAGAAGGTGGGGTCTGGGCAGAAAATGGGAAAAGATTTTTTTTTTTTAAAAAAAAGAGGTTTTTTAAAATAGGTCTTTCTTTTTCTTTCAGCCAACAAATCTTGGGCTTTGCTCATATCCACCCCTCCGTGTTGACAGAAAACACAGCTCCAAGTGCAGACCCTAATTGCACCCTTCAGGTGACAGGTAGCATGTGTGCCTCAGTTCAAACCCAAAGTCAGGGTTGAATAAATCTGATTTCAGACAGTCAGCATTTCAAAATAAAAGTATTCAGCCTGAGTTCTAAATAGGAGGTCTCCTCGAAACCTTTTGCAAGGAATACTAAAGATGCACCAAGTCAAGCTCTCTATTCACGTACCACTTTGTTCTCAGTTCTCAGGAGATCTCCAACTGCTTGCAGAACTCCCCACCCCAACCAAGTGGAGGCTCCAGAGACCAGTGCCAGGAAGGGTAAAATGCATAGGAATGATGCTGCAGGCAGCCAGTCTGCACTGGGATGTGAGGAGCCAAGCAGCTGCTAGGGGGACAAAAGTGTCCCAGGAAAAAAGAATGAAAGTGACCTGGTAGTTCTCTCCCTATATTTCAATGCATTCATTAATTAGGATTCCTTTTACATTGACTGATGGAAATGGGTGAAAAATCATAAGATCTGAGTTCTGGTTTTCATGGTAAAAAAAAATAAACAAATAAAATAAAAAGAAGGACCCTGGGACTAGTTGAACAATCAATAGCACACCTCTTCCAGTTAAGCCATACAGGTTGCATCCAAAGCCAAGCTCTCATGTCAGGCCTCCAAATTTCCAAATGATGTATTATTAACTCTGTATGAAAGCACTGTCATTCTTTGCTTTAAGGAATTAACAAAGACCCCACAAGTAAAGAGATTTGCTTCATGTCACCCAGTCAGCCTGGGTCAGAAGCTAGAAAGGAACATCCACTCGGATCAAGAAAGGACTTTCCACCCACCAACAGACTTTAGAAATGAGCACATCTTCCTTGTTGCCATTGCATGAACTATAACCTAATTATATTTTCCTTCAAGGGAAGCAAATTATATTGATTGTACAATAAAAGCTATTGTCATCCCCAGTATATCCATCATGACTCAGAAAGATGCAAAAATATTGACTTGCTCTAAATAGCATTTTACTTTTGTCTCTGGACAGCAATGTTTAAGGTATAGAGATGGTTTTGTTAACTGGTCACAGAGAGGGAATGTGACAGAAGAGACAGGCATTATAGGCAGGCCTGGCTCATCTGTGAATGACAGAGCACTCTAAGGACAAGCATAAACATTTCAGGTCTCATGAAAGAGTTAACCTGGTTATTACATATATATTTTAAAAATCCCTTAAAATTCCCAACAGTACCTACAGTAACAAGAAAATAACGAAGCCCACTGACATCTCTGAAAAGAAAGTGATTAATTAAAGTAATTAGGCTGCACTGAATTATTAAAATATGAAGTCTTCTGTAGGGACGACCAAAAAAAGGCAGAACATTTTTTGCAGTTCAAAAATTAAAACCATATTCTGGTTCATTAGCTGAGATGGGAACTAACACGTTTTAGCCTACAATCTTATTCACAGATGCGTAAGTGTCTAATATTTCACACCTTTGTAATGGCTCTTGTAAAAAGAAAAAGGAAAAAAAAAGCGGAGGGGAGAACAACAACCTGACTTCAATTATTTTATTGCTTGTAGAGAAGAGGAGCTCTTTTGAAAGAATGGCAAGGAGTCTTTCAGGTTTGCTTTGAAAATGCCCCTAGGCTTTAAGAGGACAGGTGTTGTTGGACCCATGACTAGAGTCAGACTGGCAATAGAGAAGGGCAAAGAGGCCCCATAACACATTCCTCTGCCCTGTCTTCAAAGCATAAATGTCTCTTTCCTTCCTACTAAATCAAACTGAACTCCATGGCCTGATGTTTGAATCCCTCACCATAGTACTCTGCCCCATCTCTCTGCACACTACACCAGTCAGACAGGTCGCACTATCTTGTTCATATTCATTCCTACGTCTACCATCTTCTGTTCCCTGTCTGGAAAATTCTTTATTTCTCTTTTTGTATCACTGAGATGCCAGCTCTGAGTCCCCTTCCTCATTTCTCTCAGTTCTCCAACGTGGACTTGTGCCATCCATGATTTAATTATGAATCAGATCAGATTATTCCTCCTGCTTCAAAACCTTTAATTGCACACTCTGCCTTAAAATAAAACTCAGGCGCATTAGCCTGATGTTCATATCCTTCTGGAATCTGGCCTTCACTTCCTCCTCCAATGGCTGGTTATCACACCCACTGACAGAACCTTAGCCAAACTCCACTATGGCCTTCAGTAAGTTAGTGAACTTCTTTGAACCTCAGTTTTGATGAAAGGCCATTGAGATAATTAAATGAGTTAAATACACATAAAATACTTAGATCTGGGCTTGGTACATACTGGGTGCTTGGTTCAATGCTATTTATTATAGCTGTCATTAGTATTATTTTTCCTTATCACACATTCTGTCTCAAGCAAACTACTTAATGTTTTTTACTGCTTTTCTGACAATATATCTTTCTCCAAAAGTTTATCATAACCTACTAATGCTTCAGTCACCACCGTAATACTACGTTTTCCAAAATTCTGTCCAGGATTTAAGCCTGCCCATCTTTCCAGCCCCTTAGTATCCCCAGTACTTTGTATCTCTCCCATGATGCTCAGCACCATCTGCTTTGCAACACAGTTTTGAACAGCTATTGAAGATATAGGTGATAGCTGTCTTTATATCCACTTTCCACTTGTAGCAGACACAGTTAATACTTATCAAATATTTCAGTTGTATATATTTCCCAACCTCTCTTGTATGACCTTGAGGTCATGTGACTAGTTTAGACCAATGGGTTGTAAGCAGAAGTGACATGTTAATTCTGGGCTGAGGACTGAAAGGCTATGTCATCTGTCTCTTCCCTTCCCCAAAACCTTGAATATCACACTCCTAGAAAATTCTGCTACAAGATGGTAAGCTTCCATCAGTATGTGTTCCTGAGCAGCAGTGTAGAGAAGACAACTCCTAACAACCTTGCTGCATGTGTTCAAATAAACTTTTGTTGTGTTAAAGTTTTGAAATCTGTTACTCCACTGATATAGTCTTGCTTAATCTTATTTAACACCCATCTTTTCAACACCTGATATAGGATATTTAGCACATAGGAAGTCATTTAATATTCAGATGCCTAATGGATGATATACAAAATTGCTCTTTTTTATGAGCTGGACTACTTGTTTATGTTGATCAGTCCAAATTCAAACCTTTTATTTTGATTCCTTACCTAGAGTGCACAGTCTGCATGGGTTTTCTCTGTTGCCCAAAGAACCATATACAAGACTGGGTGTGTGCTTTCTAGCACCTGCTGGTTAACAGAGGGCCAGCCTCAGTTCAACAGTTCACCAGAAGTCTATTCCGTCTGAGACCACAGCTCAGTAGCAAGTGCTCCTGTGACGGCGGATTCCACTGGAACTACTTCTCATGCCACGTGATATCAGGATACAGTGAGGTGATGGTCAAGCAATGCACTTGTTATCCCAGCTCAGAGACCACACTCCTCGTTGATTGAGATAAAAGACAAATAGATATTTGGTTTTGAAATATTGTTAACCCATCAGTCAATATTTTGTTAGGACATTTTCTAGGCAGTTTATATTACTTCTACTTCTAAAGATGAAGTAGAAGGAGCATAACTCTAAAAGGCTTTTTTATTTTTATTTTATTATATATATTTTTTTACCTTTTTTACTCTAAAGATTCCGACAACCACCAGAGGGATGGAGGTCTCTGTCGCCATTCCAGATGGACACACCAGCTAGCACATGTGACTCCTTCATCGTCAAAGAATCTGAGAACCCAAGTCTCAGGATCCTCCTAGTGGGTACCTCATCCCTTCTGTGTCTTGGTGACCATGTGTAAAGGTGGGGGCAGCTATCCATCTCCCTTTTTTCCCCCATAGAATTGATTCAGTAAAGATCAAATAGGATGCAATGGGGAAAAAAGCCTTTTAAATAAAACGACATGAACATTTTACTTCTGTTTTTTCAATAAAAAGCCTCTGTCCTAGGGCTGAGGATGTGGCTCAGTGGTGGAACGCTTGCCTTGCACGCTTAAGGTGCTGGGGATCGATCCCCAGCACCACATAAAAATAAACAAATAAAGTAAAGGTATTGTGTCCATCTACAACTTAAAAAAAAAAAAATTAAAAAGCCCCTATCCCTTAGAACACCCACACAGATCTGCCTCTGGTTGTTCTCAGATGCACCTGGAGAAGCATATGTTCTAACTTCTGATGAGAACACAGTACTCAGAAATCTAAGAATTGTGCTTCCTTCACTATCAGGGTCACAGGAAGTTGACCCAGGAAAAGGTAACATACCTAAAGCATAAAAGCAACTCGATTCAGAAGGAATAGGGTAAACTTCAGGATTCCTCTATTGACTGGGGTTTTAAAAAAAAAAAAAAGCCATGAGTGTTCAGAGGAGGCAGATTAGGTCAATTTAGATGTGGAAAGTTCTCCATTCTGGGTTCATGCTCTGAACCAAGATGCTTAAACCCAAGCCCATTTACCCTCGAGAAAGCAAAAAAGCTGAACATTTTTAGAAGAGAAACATTTCAAGAATGGATATCATCTGAGGTAAGATGAACCAATGTTAAATCCTGGGCTCATTTCCAGGATGTCAGAGCCTTATACAGAACATCTCGGGACTCAGGTAATTACCATCACCCCAACTTGGAAAGTACCCCAATGGTAGATTGTACCATAGGTCCCAGTTGTCTCTCAACTGCCTTCTTAATTGGTTTTATCCTATGCCAGCTACACTTGGAGGCTCTGAATGCCAGTTTGCCCTGTGGGGCACTGCCCTGAGTAGGCAGAATCAGTTCAGAGCTGCCAGGGCCACCAGGATGTCAGTCTGCTAGAAACTACTAACTGGGCAAGGTCAGGATATCCCGGGGGACAGGGCTGGCTGAAGTTGACCAAAGGAAATCTCAGCCAAAAAAGATGGGCTTTGTCAGGTCACTGCTTAAAATGCAGCAGGGAAGCAAAGCTGGCCTCTCAAGCCAGGTGGGAGCCAAGGCTGGTAATTAAGAGGTAAGTGACACTGGAGCCAGTGGGCTGGGAATTCACGAAGCAGATGGAAGAGGTTGAAGTGCAGTTGCTCCCCAGCCAAGTGCCCTTGTGCACAAATGACATTGTTGGGTATGTGTCCTACCAAGGGCTCCAGATCTTTGACACAGCAGTGCAACTGTCCTGCCTCCTGCTGGATGGAGACCCGTGATACCACACACACAAAGCATGTTAGAGACAGTGCTGATCCCAGTCACAGAGGCCTCTGATTTAGGGGTATTTTATTCTCCTGCTTGGCTTTTGAAATTCTTCTCTTTTTGCATTCATCAGACAATAGGCAAGCACCTGTTAGTGCTCAGCTTTGTGCTGACTCCTGGGTGATTCTGAGATAAGTAAGACAAAATTCCTATAATCAAGTTCAGTTTAGTCAATGACACAGACAAGTCCACTAAAGTGATGCGATTCCTAGCAGTGAAACCTCACACAGCTGACCACTGCTTTCTCCTTAGCAGTGTCATCTCTAGGCCTCAGGGTACCTCACTTGCCTGGTTTTCCTCCTCAGTGGCTCCTCCATCTCAGCCTCTTTTCCTGGCTCCTCCTCCTCCATATCTCCATGTCAGAAAGTCTTCTGAGTTCTTCCTTAGCTCTCTCCTCCCCTAACTGATGTAACAGTGGCTTTAAGTGCTAATGATGAAATTCTTAAATTTATATCCCCAGCCCACTTCTCCCCTTAGCTCTATTTCATGCACCCAGCTGCTCTCTGGCATCTGTGTCTAGATGCCTAATAGACATTTCAAAGCTTACTTATCAATTGCCTGTTGATTTTCCTCTCCCCTGGGTCTGCTCCCATCTCCACCACCACACCTTCACCCTCTCAGTAGGAGGCAGGACATCCACCTATGTGCTCAAATAGAAAAATCCAAGAATTATCTTTGCTTCTGTCCTTACTTTCTTGTCCTGAGAACTTGCAAGTGCTCACGTGTGGGTTCTTGGGTTCAATTCCTGTAAAACATACACACACACACACACACACACACACACACATAAATTTATCTTTTAAAATAAAATCCAGCATCTAATGCTTCTCACCACTTCTTTTGCTCCACGACACAGTGGTCATGGACCCTATCCCCCAGGATATTCACACATGCAACATTCTCCATATCATTTCAGAGGTTTCATAGAGCCTTTCACTGATTATTGGAGGAGGGGTTTGTCAATGGATTCTAGATTAAGAACCCAGGTGATTGGATGCTATAAATGAGTGTTTATATCTGTTTAATAGTTTTAGATGTTAAGCTACTTAGGGACAGGGATCCTTCATGTAATTATCTCTGTAGGGCACCTGGCATAGTGCCTCATACAACTAATCCCTTAATTAAATCTTTTTGAATATCATATGGAGAAGAAAATTAACCATTCATCCAATAATGATTTATTGAATACATACCATGTGCAGTGCCCTGTACTGGTTGTCATGAGGAATACAAAGGTTTAAATAAAACATAAAGAGAAAGTTAGTCAACACACAATGAGTAGCACGGATGGGAAGGGGTCTCGGGGTTCCAGCTTCATGTCAGTCTTAGCAAAGATGAAGCAATGGAAGAGGGCAAGACAGGTGTGCTGGACTGAGGCCACCCAGCCTGGCCAGAACAGCGGGATTGAGGAAGGGCTCAGTAGGGCCAAGGCTGGGAGGTAAGGAGTAGTGGAATCCACTCAAGTAATACCTTTGAAGTTGGCAGAGAGGAAAATTTGCATCATTCAAAATCCATTATTTATTGAAAGGTGCTGGGTAGCCTCCTTTATTCCTCCATTTTCATGCTGAAAGATGGAAAACCAAACCCTTTCCAGGGCACTGGGGCATCGGGTGTTTACTGAGGGCATGAGGGTATTGGGGTGCTTAGTCATGTACTTTGTGTTTTTAAGTGTTTTGTAGGCATTCTTGTGGCTTCTTAGCGTGATTGTAAGCTCTTTAAGAATGACTATAATTATTATGGATCCCATTATTGCAATAAAACTTTTATGTTTTCTTTTGCAGTGCTGGGGGTCAAACAGAGGGCCATGTGCATGTTAGGCAAATGTGCTACCAGTGATATACATCCCCAGCCCTGAAGAAAAACATGCATTATCTGACTCCACTCTTAGGAACTCCCAGTGAAGGTGCTTTTTTTAGCCAGCTCTATTTCACAATGAGGAAACCCAGATTTAGAGAGAGAAAGGGAGAGGGAACTCAGACTACTGAGTATCAACTAAGTGCCAGTGCCAAATGTATACTTGTTCTCCACTGAAGAGCCACAAAATAGGCATGAAGCCACCATATGACCCAGCTATATTACTCCTCAGTATTTATCCTGAAGAATTAAAGTCATCATACTACAGTGATACAGGCATACCCATGTTTATAGCAGCACAATCACAATGGACGAATGGATAATAGGAATGTTCCTGATTTGCAGTATAGAAACTGAAGTTCAGAAGACTTAAATAATTTGCTGATAAACAAGTACGGCGGGATAACAGGATGGGGCTGGCCTCCTTACCACTAGCAATACCCAGCAGACATTTAATAAATTCAGTTTGAATCTGTGTTTTAAGACATGGCAGGACTGCAGTGGCAGAATTGGCTTGTGAGACCCCTTCACTGTAACACAGAACACAAAAACATCCAGAGTCAAAAGGACTCAAGAAAAGACTCCCATACGAAAAAAAATCTCAAGAAACTTGAGCAAAATTGATTTCAAATTTATCAACCCCTTTTAACTAGGGGTGCCTAAGCTCCCCATTATGGTTTGGATGTAGGGTGTTCCCCTAATGCTCCTGTTTTAATGTAGGAATGGTCAGAGGTAACATAATTAAATCATGAGACCTGCAACCTAATCAGTGCCTCCAAGTTTGAATGAACTAACTGGGTGATAATTAAGGCAGGTGGAGTGTGGCTGGAGGAAATGGGTCACTGGGGGCAGGCCCTGGAAGGGTGCCTCTGCCCTGTGGCCCCTTCCCCCCTCTCTTTCTGTTTCCTGGCTGCCATCAATGGAGGATCAATGGAGGAGTGCTTCCCCACCATGCCCTTCTACCATGCTCTGCCACACCTTGGGCCCAGAGCAATGGAACTGTGAGCCAAAATACACTTCCTCCTCTAAATTGTTCTTATCAGGTATTTTGGTCAGAGCAATACAAATATGACACACTCCCTGAGGTAAAGCATACTAACAATTTTCTTTCAACCACTGAAGATTTGCTTGTCAATGTCAGCTTCTCTTTTATTCATGTGTGTGTGTGAGAGGTGGGGGGATCGTGCTGGGGATAGAAGCCAGGGTCTCACACATGCCAGGCAAGCCCTCTACCACTGAGCGACATCCCCAGCTCCTGCTTCCCCCCTTCCCCCTCCCCCTCTCTCTATATAGATATATAGATAGATAGATAGTTTTTTTTTTTTTTTTGAGCCACAACTAAGCCACAACCCTATCCCTTCTTACTTTTTGTTTTGAGATAAGGTCTCACTAAGTTTCCAAGGCTGGCCTGAAACTTAAAATCCTCCTGACTCAGCCTCCCAAGTTGCTGGAATTGCAGATATGTGCCCAGTCCTGCCTCTCTTTTAAAGGGTCTTTACCAAGTGCCTATAGTTCCAATTCTCTGTTTGATTGCTGTGGACCCTGGAATCAAACTAGAGGAATGTCCCCAAATAGTGAAAGTCAGCTGGACACAGCTTTCTTATTAACACTTACCTGAATAATAGGTGGAAAGCACTATTTCTGAAGCCAGAGAATTTCGAGATAATATCTCTAAGGGAACGGGTCTTGGAAAACTTAATTCAGAACTGAACTATTCCTTTGCATTCCAACTTTCTTTCTTTTAAGACCCTCAAGTGAATACAACCTCTCCCACCTCACTCATTGTTTCTCTTTCATGGAGATTTCTTCCTTTACACCCAATTTATCAAATAGAATCTGAGGCTAAAAGAAGTTCTGTGGTCTTACACCACTAGGAGCTCTAGAAGTTGGAGTTGAGATGGCTGTCTACTTAATGAACCTTGAGCATGACATCAGTGTCAAACTCAGAGCATCACAGCCTCATAGCACATGGCATAGAGCGCTGCGTGTCAGTCAAAGCCACGTCAGACAAAGAATCACACAGAGCATTTCTTGATGGGGCTGAGCCCAAATGACTCTTCGGGAAATGCTCAGAGGAAGGTGTGGTATGTGGATCACAGGCTTTGTCATTTATGGGGAGAGGATCCCAGTGCTCCTGGTCTGAGGAGGTAGAATAGGGATGACAAGGCTTCTCCTTCATTTGACAAAGTTCTCACATCCAATCAGCTTTCCAGGTGTCCATTCCTGGGCAGGAGAATCAAAGGTACACCAATGCCACTTCAAGCTGTCCTGCATGAGATTTAAGGTGTTACTTGATTTAGTATGAAAATTTTAATTTCTACAAGAATCCCACAAATATGGTCAGCTTGGTCCTGGATTGTGAAAGCAACTGGATACTTTGTTTGTCCTTTAGAAATAGGGACACGGGGATGGAGAGAATATTTTGAAAATAGTAATCAAGGAAACATGGCCAGAACAAAACACACAGCCAACCCAATTACCCGCCATCTGTTGTGTGGACTAGGAGTGGTTATTTAGTGATCAGAACAGACTCCATGGTTCCTGGCCGGGGCTCTTCATGGCAACTGCTCTGTGCTCTGAAGTTGACACTTTTGGTTCATGGGTGTGTCAAACAGAGGTGAAAGGGCCATGATTCTGTGGATGTGTGGATATGATGGTGATGCTCTTTCTATACAGATTGGACAAGAAGGTGACTCTAGCAGTCTTTTGAGTTAATAAGTCTTTGCTACATATTTAATGGATCTGCTAGTGAAAAGGGGCCACATCTATAAGCAAAATCTTGTTATTATGGTTTATGACTAAACTCTCAGGCTCTGTGTTGGTACCTTTTGGAACCCCACTGTGATGTCAAAAGCAGCATTGATCTCTAATATGCATCTGGAAACCGCTAGGAGCTCTCGCTGCCTGTCTTCAGGAGCCACCCTCAAAACTCACGCCAATATAAACAAATGCAGAGTTAGAGCTTCCATTAGGGAGACTCTCCGCAACCTGATGATAACTGTTGGTTTCTACTCCAACAGTCAATTCTTAATTATGCACTCAGATAAGGAACTGATACTGCAGATATCTATATGGATGGCAACTACTTCTTTCTGTCCATTCATTTGTCCATTCATTTTTTCAATACGCGGTTATTGGGCCCTTACATATCACACTCTGTTCTACATCCTGGAGATTCAAAGGTAAGATTTGGGGACTTCTCTGTAGTCACTCATTGTCTAGTAGGAAATGGCAAAGAAACTATCCCAACACAATATGTTAAACACTAGAGCAATAAACGTACACAAAATTTCTCTGTGAAGATGGGGAGGAGATGCTCCCATTTCCACCCTGGTGAAGTCCCACAGACAACCATCACTCTGATGTGGGTCCCTGTACAGCAGTCAGCCCTCTTTCCTGCAACTGTGGAGCCATGAAGCTGGCAATCCAGGTGAAGAAACCAAAGAATGCTGTGATCACTGGTTGGTTATCCTAGCAAGCCGAGCCTGGGGCAGCTGTGGGGATCTGAGCTATGGAGCTGAAGGACTGAAAAATCAAAAAGCTGGAAGCGAAGGGAAAGTTGGTTCACTCCAGGGAAAGCAGTCAGAAGCAGCAGTTGACAAGATTGGCCTTGTATACTCCCCTGACATCAGCACTGAGTGTGAGTGACTGCAGGAACAGGAAACAGGTCCCCAGTGACGAATGCTGTCTGCAGAGCTTGGGATAAACTTTAGAGAGGAATTGTGCACTGGTTTTGAGAAAGAGTGTTCCACAGAAAATTCATTAATTTGATGACTAAGCATTGACGATTACCTAACAGCCAGATGTTGATATGGAATGAAATATGTATTTATTTATCCTTCTTCAGAATTTTATTTATATGGCATTCAAGGCCACCCATCGTCATTTGTATCTCAGTACATCCCTTCCCACATCCACTATGTTCCAGTTACATGGACTGACTTTTCTTTAAATATTTTTTTTCAGTTGTAGTTGGACACAATACCTTTATTTTGTTTATTTGTTTTTATGTGGTGCTGAGGATCAAACCCAGGGCCTCACACATGCTAGGCAAGTAACTCTACCACTGAGCCACAACCCCAGCCCACATGGACTGATCTTTGTTCCCTATGCAGCTTCAAGTTCTGTAACTTTGTTTCTGTTGTCCCCTAAGAATGAAATACCCTGCCTTGCCCTCTTTTGATTAAAGCTGTACATACCATTTTTTTTAAATACCCAACTTTTTTTCTAATACTACCCCATCTTGAAAGCCTTCTCTCACCACCACTAATGCCCTAGAAAAAATGAGCCATTTCCTACTCTGGACCTCCAAGATCTACCACTGCTCTCTTTACTGGCCATGCTTCTCTTCTGCCTCAGATTAAACAGTGATTCACACATCTATTTGCTTTGGATGAGCAGTAAATGGTAAGAAAATAGTAAACTGCAAGCTCCTTGTAGACAGGGACATACTCTTTTTGACCTGTCTTTTTATTTTAAAAGTTTTCATCTACAGAAAAGTTGAGTTATTAGCTAACAAAAAATTGATACACCCCACCTTTATTAATGAACCACTAACATTCTGGTACATTCACTTTTTTTCCCCTAAGTCACTTGAAGGTGAGTTGCAAACATCATGTCACTCACACTAATACCTCAGCATGTTTGTCCTAGCAGTAAGGACTTTCTTTTATAAAACCACAATGCTACTATCAAATCTGAAAAATTATCAATAATGCCATTATGAGATCTATAGATTTCCACAATTATCTCAAAAATATCTTTCTTAACATTTCTCCCTTGGATCAAGGATCTCACACCTGACTGAAGATGGGAGAGGTCCAGAAAGCAAAAACTCATTGCCTTGTGGGATATCCGATCTGGAATCGACCTCAGAAATCATGTCCAACTCCTAGGCTTTCCAGAGGAGAGGACTCAGGCCCAGAGAGCTACAATGGCTTGTTCAAGGTCACATAGGACAACTCCTTGTTCAGCTTCCTTTCCACTTTCTCTAGTTACCACACCATGTCCAGGATCTTTTTTTCTCTTTTTACCAATGAGCAATGGTAATTTCCTCAATCTTCAAGCATCAAAGATGAACTTCAAAGTATCCAAGGCAAACCTAGTCTCAGAAACAGAGGGATAAGCCAGTGACTGCTTCCCGTCCCATTCAGGTCAGAGTTATTTCTGAGGTGTCTGTTGCCTCCAGTGGGGAACAACTAAGAAGCAAATAGCCCCTTGAGCAGCCCCTTCCCCAGCAGAAGGCGATGAGAATAAAGCCACCCATCTCATCAAGCTGGGAGGTAGGGTGCCTCCTTCACATTGTTTCCACTGTCGGCTTTAGCCAAAAGGTATCCTTGAACTTTTCTAGGGCACAGGAGCCCCACCCAAAAGAACATATCACCCAGAGTTGCCACCATGACAGCCATTTGCAGGTGTGAATCCCTTTTGTAAACAGAAGTGACAAATGAAGAAATCAGGGTGAGGGGTGATTCTTATTTCTGAGTATAAGCACTTATTTAAAGCAGCAAAATTGGAAATTCCTCAGTAACCATAGATCAGTTGTTCTTTCCAAATTTCATACAGGCAGCAGCAATACAGGCTAATAGTTGGTAGAAGGCTTCATTGAACAGTGAAAGGAAATAACTGTCTCAGTTATTAGCAGTTGGAAGATTGAGGAAAAGCCTCAATCATCACTGGGGAGCCAGAGGTCTTATATAGAAATTCCAGCCTTGGACTTGAACTTGTGTGACCTTGGCTGAGCTGCTTAACTCTTAGGAACCTCATCTGTAAAACAAGGAAAGTTTGGTTAAAATTACATATTCTCTCTCTCTCTCTCTCTCTCTCTCTCTCTCTCTCTCTC